TTTTTAAATAACAGGTAATAAATACTCTGTTAAGAAAAAAGTCCAGTCCCTTTATCTACTCATTATACGCAGCATTCAGAAAATCTTAATGCATTAATGATGTACCAATTTCATAACTTTATTCACAATGAACATACAGGTGTACCTCATCCAAGAAAAGCTTTTTGTTTCATCATAATTATATTCTGTTCAGAAAATGTCCTGTGAACAAAACAGGCACCTCACTGTGGGGTCTTCCCACCTCTGTTTATACAATAGGATTTACAGCACGTTCCAGATGGTGCAGATAAAGATGTTTAATAAACTAGACTTCAGCTAAGAGTTCTGCTTGTCAGAATAATTCTGCTGTACATAAGAGTCTGGCAGCTATTAAAAAAGCTTTTGCAGTTCTAGCATTCATAGTCCTAACAAAAGATTTAAAAATATTAAATCTAAGATGTATGGTGAATCAACACAGATACTGTTAAACACTTCTCCACCATTACAACATACCCCTTTGAGATACTGACTATTCTACTGAATAGTACTAGAGAACTCAGAGAGGACATCCTGCAGCTGTCAGGAGCTTCCTGCAAGCCTGCAACAGCAATTTAAGATAGAGAATAACAATGTAATGCAGACAAAACGGTAAGCTCTACTGCAAATCACTGGGTAGATATAAAAAACTATGCTAGACAAAAAAAAAAATAAAATAAAAGGCAGTTATTACATGTTTAGCTGTCTTTTCTTTTTTTTTTTTAAATCAATAATTATAAATAGTAAAAATGTACTCTAATTCACTACAATAGACTATGCCCTGAGAAGTAACATTACACACTAAGAAAAAGCCACTAGGAAGTGTCAGGTCTGTAATTTGAAAGAGTAATACAATGAATTCCCTGGAAGCACATATTTCCTCCATTTTTTAGCAATATTTTGCTTCTTCAGAGGAAAAGACTAATGAAAAGTTATGCTAATTCTAGGTTTTCCAACTTTAAGTATATGATCTTTTTATCTTTTCTCCTTCAAACTCACCCTGGGAAACTAGATGGCTTCAAAAAGCTCTTGCTTTTCACATCTGAAAGAGAATAGAGGCCTAGCATGAGGTTCTGAAAAAACTGAGCCTGATGAACTCCACTTAAGGACATCAGTCAAAGTACTTCTTGGGAGGTAGTCAGAGTTATATAAACACAAAATTAGGCCACCTCACCAATGCTTTGCTACATTCTTCTTTGCTGCTTGGAAGAACAGAGAAGAAGTTGAGAAGAAAACATACCTCTGAGCATATGGGGAAAAATAGAAGGAAAATTATCTTAGACAGGGACACTGAACTTCCTTTGAAACTACTTTGAATGCTAAGTGCATTTGAGAATAGGTGAGTTACACCCTTTCCTCTGTATCTGACACTGATAAAACAGTAAGATCTAATTGTAAATACTCCACCAAATGAGTATAAGAGAAAGATGCATTTAGAAGTCACATCTACGTTTCACTTCACTGCTTTTTCCAAAACTGCCCTACAAGATACAATTCAGCAGTTGTGGGTGTTTTTCCCCACACTGTAAGTGCAATGGTTCATGTCCTACTAGATTGAAAAAAAAAAAACCAAACAGCATTCTTTCCTCACAGAAGGTAAAATACAACTAAGCAAAAAACCTTGTCCAAAAATTAAATCATTAAATCTCTGAAGACTCACAACTTAAATTATTCTCTGGTAGTCACATTTTGTTCATTGTATTATATGTTATTCTGAAAGAGTATGCTTGTTGAGTCTGGCTATGCAGACAAACCCTTCCAAAACTCTTTGTTTCTATCCATCAATATCATACAGTACTGTTTTAAAAATTCATTAATTATCTATTTAGGAAAAAAACCTCACCCCCATCCATAAAGTCTAGCTATACATTCTAATTAAGCAGCACTAACACAAAATTGGAAATGCCAGAAATTTTGATTGTAAGACAAAAATCTAAGCTTTCTATCTATATTACACTTTGTTAATTTGTCCTAAAGCAAAGTACATATAAGGTAATTATTCAAATAGTATAAACCGACAATTTAGCTTATCCCCTATTTAAATGACACATGAACTTTGTTGTATAAATATATAAGAAGTCAATAAAACACAAATATGCAGACATGAGTAGATTAACAAATATTAATCAGTGCAGCTATAGCAATGCGTTCCAATAAAGTCATACAGGTTTGTTATTGTAGTTATCTTTAATGCTGCACATGTTTCTCCAGTGACTGTAACACACAAGACAAACTAAATGTCATTGAAATAACAGTCAATGTATTTAGCAGCTCAGAATTCGATCCCTTAAAAATGCAACTCCTTCTATTCCAATCTCTGTAGTTTTAAATTACATTTGTTCCTCAAACCCCTTTGTTTCTAGTACAAATTTCTACAAAGACTAATCCAGTGAGCAAAAACAGCCTGCATCAATTCAAATGACACATACTACAGCATATGACAAAATCAGGAAAGATGCTGAACATTACATGAAGATGTTTACAGATGTGCAAAGTTTGGTTTTATATTTGAGGGAACTTCAGAGAGTAAAAGCCTTGTATTCTGCTGCTTCTGTTGGACATTTTCTCCCCAAGAATGTTCACTGACTACATTTTTAGTTTCTGATCTCCAAAACACAAAACAGCTGATACACCTTACTTAAAGAAAGCGTATTCAGTAACCTTTATATGTGTTAACTACCAACAGACTGAAGCTACTTCTCTTTTTTTTCAAGCAGCGCCCAAATGGGACTCTGCAATACTGCCGAATGGCCAGACAGGTATGCGGCAAAGATCAGTTCTGAGCTTAATGCAACTTGTTACAAGTACCTCTTCAATCATTTCATGTATGAGGCTTCAGGACATTGACAGCTTGAAGAATTTAGATATTATTTTCTTCTTTCATATAATTTATATTGCTACCATAAAAAAATTAAAGCTTGAATTTAACATCTTATTGTTTGCATTTCTTTCAAAGCAAAAAAACATGATTTGTTTCAATTTCACTGTTACTGTTCAGTTTTCTGTGTGGCAGAGCCTGGTCTGCAAACATTTCTAAATGTAGCTATTCCTACTGGATTTAAAAAAAAAAAAAGTGTGGGGGAGTATTTCCATCAGGTGCAGACTTTGAAAATCCACTCTTAAGAGCTATACTACAGCCATCAGTGTTTTGCAAAAGTAATAAAAATATCAGCACCATCTCTAATCAGAGTATTCAGAACATTTTCCAAGTATTAAAATTCAATGCAACTCTGTGCAGTTACATAGGACCAAGTCTCGTCTTCCTATGAGTATGCATCACTTACACATGTATTATGAGAGCATCTGTTTAAATGTTTATGGTGGAAAGATTGTCAAATTCAGTAGCATAGAACTTCCACAGTACAGCTCTAATAAAGCTAACTAAGACTCCAGATTACAGTATGGAAGAAGTATATAATAGGTTTCAAGTCAGATTCTAATATTATTTTCCTCTAAAAGCCTCAATCTCAATCATTTCAGTGCAAGAAGAGAGCATCTCTTCCTTTCCATAGTTCAAGAAATATTTCTTATCATGTTCCCACTTCTGAGGCTGCTCCTATCACTAATATATTTCTCACAAATAGGTAATTTTTGCCAAGGCAAACAACACACAACTACGTTACTAAGTAGCCCAGGACCAAGAATGTGATCCTTAATACTTGATTTCACACTTTCCGGGTGCGCACTAGTCATTAATGGGATACTGTTAATTAATGGGATATTGTTAATCAAGCTGACATATGCTACCATACATAATATATCATCCATACTCAAGGAATATCAGGTCCTCTGAGATGGGTAAAAGTTCTTGCTCAAGTTAAGTTCTTTAAGTTCAGACTCCATTTGTACCTGAACCTATCCATTTATTAGTGATCACAGAGGCAACATCTTATGACAAAATTATCCTCTCAAGCCATTCCCACACCTCCTTCAGACAACAACTATGTTCTTCTGCAACTACAACCATCAACCAAGACAGCATCCCAGAGCACTTCAAAACAAATGACCAAACATCCCTAGCTACGGAGAGGCAGGTGTGGATGCCCTCTGAGACAAAACTTCAACATGGAGATGCTCAAGCCTAGATCAATCTTATCTAGGTACTGTAAACAGAACAGTACCAGTGTATACATATAGAAATGTCTTTGTTAGCTGTTCTGCACCTGAAATGCGCCACAAACATACTCTCAAAGACTACAGATGGTCTGTTTTCATTCTGAAATGCAAGAGTAGACCCCATTCATCAAACTATTTAGAAGTGCTGAAATTCCGTATTTCAAGTGCCTTTTTTTTCATTTGAAATGATACCTTTTGAGCAGGCTACCTGTGTTTTTCCTCCCTCATTGTTTCTCTCTCTGTGCAACAGAAACAGCGTCTTGAAACTTCATCATGGTCAAGAGGCATTTTGGCCAGGAGATATATACAATTCTGATGAGGACACTAACTTGAAAATTGAATCCCCTCAGTGAATAGACTGATTTTAAAAGAGGCCATGTTGTCATCGAACACACTTCTACACCGGTAGAATGTTTCCCCCAGGTCTCTAGATCAGTACAATTCTACTAGTGTAAAAAATCCCTTATGCAGACAAGTTCTCAGGAAATGACAGAATACACAACTATATTTAATTTCAAATTCCCTTCAAATTTACAGTTATGTTAACAGAGATGTATGGCTGGAGAAGAGCTCTTAAGGAAGAGTAAAGAAGATAAAAAAACCCCAAAGACTGAAGCTCAAAGAACAAAAGGGAAGAGATAGCTCCCTCCTGCCATCACCTTCTTTTTTTTTAACTGTATAGTCTCAACAACCAGTCAGAAGATTTAGTTTTTACTCCATCAAATATTGGCCTTGTACAGTCTTGGTTAAGTACAATCAGCAAAGTGTGATTGAGGAGGCTGAGATTCTGTAGTGAACATAATACATTCAGAAATGTTATCGAGTGTGATTAATTCTGGATTGTTGAGATAAAATAAATAAACACCAAGTAAGGAAAGAAGGTAGTCTATTTTAAGAAAAGTATTTCCAAATACAGCTCTAAGTGTGCGAAGATGTGCTTGAACTATTTTCTGTCACGTTTTCTTGTGTCAGGATTTCAACTTCATAGACTTCCCTATCAAGCTAACGTGACAACTAACAAGCAAACAAAACCCCAGTTAAAACAGTAAAAGGCATGATGGCTCCAATATTGTTACTGGAGCCTTGAGAAAGAAACACTTCAGTCTGGTGTTCTACCAAAGGTTGCTAATACAAAAATAATAGCACTCACCGAATACAGTTTGGATCCAATAAGGTGTTAGCATGATACCACATAGTAAAGACAAACACCCTGGAAACAGGTTTAGCTGTTACTGACAGATTCTCCCATCCTTTTTTCAAACACCGTTTCACAAGCATTTCAGACTTTTCTTCTTTTACCTCTTTTGTTTTTTAAAAAAGTCTAATGATTCAGAGTTAACACAGAAGTAAAAAGTAAGAAAATGTCATGGTAGGAAGCTGACAGAGTGATTTCTTAAAAAGACTAAGGAACAAACTGCATTTGGTAAATAAAAAGGTATGCCAGTTTCTAATAAAGTGACAGACTTCTACTCTGAATTTGAACTTTAGGACTGACCATCAAAAGAGAGAGAAACACAGGGTTGGCTAACACTTGCAACCAAGACATGCATTTGTGTCTGAAAAGAGAATATTGCACTAAGAAAAGAACCCTGAAAGCTTTAAACACTTCCTTCACTGACTTAAAAATTTAACTAACCATTTCCTATAAGCAGTAGCAAACCTGGCTTGGTCCACATCCCTACAAGTTGATAATACTTTATCAATGAACTGGTATTCCATTTCTGGACCAAGAGAGTCCTGCAAAGGAGCACGTTTCAGGCGTTTTGTTTCTTGTGTATAACCTTGTTTGCTGCTGGATTCATTCAAACCATCAACATCCATAGCTTGAGCCATGTGACTTGTTGCAGGACTGTGGTGGGAATTATTCAGAGTCTCATCACTGCTGTCCGCAGATGATACCACTGCACTCAGAAGAGGAAATTTGTTGCTTAGGTGCTGTTGAAGGTAGAACACACACCTTCTTCAAAGGAAAAGGAAAGAAGAAAGAAGAAAGGAAAAAAGTCATGCACTGAAAATAACCTGCTGTTGCTGCTGAACTGTTTCAATTCATTTGCCATCCCACCAGATTCCCCCACAGACATAATCTGCTGTCACTGCTCACGAAAAGGGCTCAGTGTCACTTAGGTAAATCTGCTCTTACCTAGTCAGGAACCTGCACCCACCTAGTAAAGCACAGGTTTTCTGCAGCCACTCTATCTTCTGTCTACCTTTTGCTCATCTTTTGTCCTTTAAACATTTAAAGTGTGAGGATGCTCCTAACAATATCTTGTGTCTCTTGCACAAAATACAGGGACAAGCAGAACTTAAATCAGCAAGATACCTAAGCCTAATCAATTTTTCCATGCAATAGTTCTGATTATGCTCTTGAATATTTTCCAAAGGCTTAAGACATGGTAGCTTAAAAATTTTTGTTGAGTGGTACTTTTAAAAATCAGAACAACAATTTGTTTGGAAATATCAAGCAAAGAACAATCCACAAATCAGAAGGAAACTCTTTTGACCAAGTCCTCTTACCTATGACACCACAAGGTTTCATGCCCTGGGTAATTATCAATCAGTTCAGTGCAGAGCTCCATCTCTTCCTCTAAACGGCGGGGGAGATCCACGCTTTGCTCCTCTGCACAAGCAGCTTCTGTCCCTGCACTCTCCTCCTCCTTCTGAAGGTTGGGGTTTTGTTCATTTACCAGTCCGTTACTGTCAGCCACAGTTCTGCCTATCAAGGAATTGAGTAAGAACTGGCGATAATGAAATCCACTATGGTCTGAGACATGCATGGATACCCAATATTTAGTGGATGAAAGTTCATCAAGGAGAACCTGAAACAAAAAGCAGGGACATTTACAACCAGTATAAAGAAGGAACTTGCCACCAATGCTTCTGCATCCCTGCAGAAAAGAAATCGATACTTCTTTCAAACTCTGAAAAGACAGGTTTCTCAGAAACCTAACCACAGGCTGATGTGGAAAAAACCCCAAACTACTTAAAATAAGAAATAAGCAGTGGTTTAAGAATTTCAGAATGGTTAGGAATAAATAGAGAAGGCAGAGGTGGTACACCAAACTACTGATACTAGTAATAAATAACTGATGTTAGTTAAAAAAATTTTACTTTTTGCCTAGGGCATTGTGGATGTCAGAGGGTGGGTGAGTTACTTAAAAAGAAAAAAAAAAAACTAAAATTAATTTACGCCTTCATTTTCCAGGAAAGAATGTCAATCAATAACATTATGTTTCAAGTCCTAGAGCCTGTGGAATACAAAACTATTTGTCCATAATCAGGTTGCTTGACTTGGTAATTGATGAACCCCTAAAAAGGGTTTCACAATAACTCTGGTAAACAATACTGCTGATTGTAGCTCTGTTTATAACACTTCTGGAATAAAGAATTTTCCCTTAAGTCTGAATGCTTTTAAACCTTCAAAATTAATTTCTGGAGAGACAGGCAAGTTGGCTACCAGACAAAGCTTCTTTTACTTTATTTTCTCTATTAGAGCTGGTGGTTTCATTTCGTTACAGGGCTTAACTTCTTTCCTTACATTGTTCCTCCTACAAAGTTTAAACTCTCCAAAGACATCAAAATTACCCTTTGCATTTACTTTTAAAGACTTTGAATAGAATCTACTGGTATACTCTTGCTTTTCATCTTTTCTCCTAAGCTTCCGTATCACTTAACAGGACCAGCTGATGCAAAGGAACTTTCATAGGGAGAAGTCTTTCTTTTTTCTCCTGCAGCACAAAAGACAGAGCTTCCCACAAAGAAAACCACGGAAACACACAAGGTTAGTTACACACCTTTTTGTGGTGCATTTGTTCTAAAAGAAATCAGAGCAAATACAAACAGTGTAAACAGTGCCTTCTACCTGAGATACTCAAGGTGGTTTTTTTATATCTTGACAAGAGATATCAGCATTGCCTTCCTTTGACAGATCAGCAAACTAAAGTGCAGTATTAAATAACAGCCCACACATGCAATTCTTAAGGGGACTAAACCTCTCCATCTCCAGTTCTGCACTTTAAACCATAAGATCAGCTTCTCCATTTTCAGCAGAATTAAGCTTACTGTTTTAAACTTCTGAACTTTGAAATTGTCGAAGAATAACATGAGGCTCAGAAAAATCAGACCAGCCTTTACTCAGCAGGAATTGATACTATGCACATCATGTCCAACCTAGATCTTGGAATAATCCAATTCAATTATCTGACATATATATAAGCTGCAAAGTTACAGGGGAACATCTTAATTACTAAATTGCATTTTAACTCCCTGTACAAAGGGAACAAAATGATTCAAGGATCACTCCTTACCTGAACTAGAAAACCTCTTTAAAAAAAAGCAATACAGAAGATTGCCGTTAAAACCTCTTTAGATCTACAGAAAACCAAAGCCTCTCATGTAGGAACCTCAGAGTAACAGTGGAAGATGCTTCAAACACTGGAAGTAAACAAAAAAGCAAGCTAACGTCTGAATTCCAACAGAGGTTCTTTCGTACCAAGCCAGATTTCTCCATTTCCACACTGAATAGCACAAGCCGTTTGTCATTGTTCTGAGAAGCAAACTGTATGAAAACTCCTCCCTCTCCACTCTTGATAGCCTCTCACAAAGGGCTGTCTTCTACCTTCAGAGGTGAGCTGAGTACCATGGAACTGGCATCCTCCTCCAGAATAGGACATATGTGCTCAGTGACCTCTGTCGTAACCTCTGGGTCTGCACTCCCTCCTACACCCTCCCTGACCCTATGCTTACTTGTTTTAAAGTGCTTATCCAACCATAAACTGCAGCTCCAAACTTCCTCCCTGGTCTGGGGCACTGGGGAAATGAAAAGGAACTGCATCTGGGGAAGAAAGATTTTAAGGATAACCAGATAAATATGGCAGTATCCACTTGCACAAAAGACAAGTACCTTTGCAGGCCCAGTCATCTAAAAAACAGCCAAGGCCTTACTGGGGATGTCTACAAGAAAAATTACTTTGTGTCTTATTAACATATTTCTATCTTCTGCTTAGCAAAACAGTTTGTTGGGGTTTTTTTTGACAAGAAAATTCAAGACTTTATTCACTATTGTGTTATACCTTGACAGTCAGCTTTGCCAAATGCTGTAGAACCCAGATGCGATGGGACCAGGCATTGTAGTTGCTTGGATATCTCCCAGCAGCTTCAGAGCAGACATTCATTTCCTCCTGCACTAGTCGGTGAATTCTCTCCACAGGTGCTGCTCCCAGGTTTCCTTTAGTAGCGAGACTTGGCAAGGAGTTTTCCTGAATTAGTTGTTGCAGCACCCATCGTCTGGTTAAATGATGTAAAGTGTTAAAGGTGAGAGAGCAATTTTAAGAGGAAAAAAAAGGTTTTTCATTTATATAAATCAAATCTTCCAATACCTCAATTATCTGAACTACACTCTAGTCAGATAAGAATAAGCAGTAAACATAACCATCTCAATGCTTCCCATACTGAAACCTATGACATTATGATCACACCCCAACATAATTTAACTCCAGCTGTATCAGTTTGTTCACTCTTAAGTTGTCATGGCTACTTACAGCATACAGAAAAAAACCAGAAGGAAACGGCAAATTTACAAAAAAATGCACACTGTGCACATGGGATTTCTCATGAGCTCCTCTTTCAAAGTCTTGTATAGCACTAACATGAAGTATCCATCACGAGATAGAAAAAAGTCACTCAACAAAAAATTAACTCTGCTTTGTCAATATTTTTTACATCTGACAGTACTGCACACAGCAAGTCAAATTAGTTTCTGTACACCACCAGAAGTGACACAGTGCAAAATGCTTACAGATTGAAGGGCTATAGGTATAAGCAAAACAAATTTTTTTATTGATGAATTACACATATTTGATTTCACGTGACTGAGACAAACACAAAAGTCTAGATTTATTTTTTTTTATTTACTCTAGACTGACATTTAGTAGTATTTTAGTAATATTTTTACAGGCAACCTCAATGCTGCATAAGCCATGCCTCTGCAGCCCCTACACAAAAGGGTCCTACAAAACCAGATCACAGACGTGTAAATTTCCACAGAACAGCACATGCCAACAGAATTCCAATGGCCCCAAGTGGAATGCTCTGGAAAGCCAGACATCCTGTTGTCTGCTACACAGAGGTATTTCTGTTTTGTACTGGCTAACAGCAGTTCCAAGATCAATTAATAGCAACTTTCAGAAAATTGTCACTCCTGGTTAAAAGAAATCAATAACTAAAATAAAAATAATAAATTCATGTTTTTAAACAGAGAATTCTATTTTGCCAGTCATAACAAAATTGTGTATATACATATATATATATATATATATATAAAAAGTAGACAAGTCAATTTTTTATTTAAAAAAATAAAACTGGTAATCCATATGCTTTCTTTCTCATTTGAAAACATTTATAAAATACTTGTTTGCTGTTTTTTTTTATTTGCACTGTATTTTTTTCTGCTGATTATTAAAAAAAAAAAAGACTTAAAATACTGGAAGACAATATTAAACATAATTTATAAGAATACATTTTTAAACTGTGTTTGTCAGCAGAAATCAAAAGCAGTGTATGAACACTTTCTTCCTATATAACATTTGTTTTAACCAAAGATGTACAGCCAAACAAACCCATCCTCTTTGACTGTTGTATAACTGTATTTTATGAAATGTAGTAATTTTGAAGACTTAACTTTTGATTTTTACAAACGTCTTTGATCCAAACATCACCTTTAGGATTTTTTCACTTCAATCCACAGATTTGCAAGAAATGGAAACTGGAATATTGATTAGGCATAAAAACTAAATGAGCAGAATCATTCCTTTAACAAAAAATGTCTATCATTTCATTAACATTGACTTCTGAGTAAAACAATAAAAAGACAAATTATTTCAGTTTCTTAAAATGAGGATGCTTTATAAGATAAGGAATTCTGATAAATTATATATACAGGAGAGAGTGAAAAAATACAGACTTCATGGTCTCTGTGGCTGCAACCTTAAAAAAAAATATATATTGAAATTTGAGCTACTTGCTAGACAAGGCAATCACAACTTCAGAAGATTTAAAATGCATTTTTGCAAACTGCTGAATATCATGGTATTATTTTTAAAGTTTTTAAGAGAAATTGCCACTAATTAATTTGAAGTCACTGTCACTTTTGCATGTTCCTATTACTATTATGGTTCCTGGGATTATCACAAATGAATGAAGGATTGTTAAGTGACTGCTGCACAATCAATAGATATACTGACTGTATATGTACAAGATCTATCTGAACACCTGAAAACGTATAGCAGAAGGTCATCTGGCAAAATGAACAAATGGTACGTTTATGTGTTTAGTGAGTGTACTTGCAGTGTATAAGAAAAAACAATTTCAATATGTGTTACTGAATTTTATTAATAGCCCCATTCTATTTTTCTTGCACTGCTGTCTTGAGATTTGGTACCATGGGGGAACAGAAAACCCAAGAATAATCATTATGCCGATGCAGAAAAAAAAATTTTTGCACATCTTATTTTCCAACATGTATCAATCATGGCCAGCATATCCAAATCCAAGCTAAATATTTGTACAATCATACTCGAATATACTTTTCTGATGTAGGCACATAAGAATTAAAATACTCATAATTCAAGATTGCACGGAAGTTATAGACAGAATTTTTTACTATTTCTAAGAGGTAAATAAGTATAAAGAACCTAACATTCTGACTAATTTCATAAAAACTTATTGTTCTTCATAAAGTTATGAACTACACCAGATTCAGAACTATTTACATGCAAAAAAAGCATGTTTTTCCAGTGTTAGCTACCATGTATAAAAGGTTAAACTATGACAAACTGCAAGTCTTTTTCCCATTATAACTACATATTTTTGCTTCACAGCCATCAAGCAGTGTGAGTCAGTAGCATGAAGATGATGAAGAGTAACTGAACGACAAAATTAAAAATCAGTGCCACAGAAATTGATTGTTGTTGCTGCTATGTCAATATTACTAAGAAAGAAACACCCAGGAACATTCCATGTATTACATTCTAATTAACTTCAAGAATTTTAAGCTCATGCACTCACAAAGAAGAGCTAACCAACAAATTCCCCTTCCAAAAATTCTCATGTAGTCAGTAAGATGGAAGTTTTATTTAGGTTTTTTATAGAGTATGAGTCTCCTAATGCGGTATCAACTTTACAGTTGTCCTAATGCTGGACATGTTAAACACCCACATTGCAAACTGCTTCCTAACATGCTACCTTCAGTTCTCTTTAAGATGTCTACAAAAGGATGAGTTATCCTTTTATTGGCAGAATGAATAAAGATCACACATATATGAAGATTTATTTTGTTTTTAAACAAAGTTGAGCGGTGGATCTGTACTTCACTTGGCTATGCTACAGGCATTTTATGAATGCTAAGTTATGAACTGAGATAATTAGCTTTGTGCATTTGTGTAATTCTGGTGCTATGTTTTCCAAACATGTGATCTATTATTATAATATTTAGTAGTGGTGACTTAATGACCTTGCTTACACTAGAAATGATAAAAATAAATTCAACAAACCAAAAAGACCGGTACTGAAATGGGAAAGAAGTCAGCTTTGGTTATAAAGATTAGCTTTTACAGATTCTTCTCTTTCTGGAATGCCTGTAGACCACGATATAGTAGTAAGGTGGAGGGAAAGAGGGAGAAACCTACAGTGCTCAAATACTTACTATTTGATGGCATCGGAATTTTCAGGCTGAGAATTTTAGGTGCTGCAAGACATGACAAACCTTTAGGAAAACCTATCCCACCCCTCAAGTTTATTAAAAAAGTATGCAGCAAAAAGGTGTATATGATTCCAGTTCTAAGAGTAAAATATAGGCAGGTAGCTTCAAAAGCCAAAGCATAGTATTCCACAATGACTGTATCAAAGATTCTGCTATATTGTTAATTGTCTTCCTTCACCTATGGTTCTTCTTAACCCAAGAACAGGAAACGAAAAAACCCTGGGAAAAATGGTTTTAAGGAGTCAATAAAAGGCAGGGGAAACAAACCTATGAATCCATGTTTCTGGACTCTTTGGAAACTTGGTTAACGCCAGTTTTCCAAGATGCAAATCTTTAAGTGGATTTAAAGTGCCAGACAGTATTAATTCTTTCCTACAAAAGATAAAATAAATCTGTATGAATAAAAGTAGTAACCTGGAAACATAACACAAATTCCAGTAACAAATTGCAAGGCATTCCCTTTGTATCAGAACTGAACTTCACTGTCAAACTACAAGAGTTTAAAAACCCTTTGGTGGATTCACCCATTCCACTGTGCTATACATACATGCACACTATTCATCAGGCCCAATAAAATAAATCCAGATCAAAGAACCTTATCTTAATCTGAATATATACAACGTTCTCAAATCTACCCAGAAATTACTGAGTCAACAGCCAATAGGGTTACATATATGAATAAACATTCCCTCTTGAAATTAAGCCCTAAGATCATTATGTACATCTAAAAATACCATTACACACAGCACTCTCCAATACTTACTTTCAGTTTATAAATACTGCCCAAGATGCAGTATCAAGGTTCCCTAAATTTAAAAAGAAGGGGAAACTATTCTTTGTGCGTAGAATGTTTTTCAAACTTAAAAAAAGGTTGAAATTACTACGTTTACTTCAGCGTAAAACAACTTTTGGTTTAAAGAAAAAAAAAAGAAAATAATTTGCCCCGACAAAACTTAATGTTCATCCAACACAACCCTTCCCAGAGCACCTCCATCACAGACAGAGTAAAATGAAAGTCCGTACTTGGCCTTCTCACAGAATCCTTCTTCTTTGCACAGAATTCCCTGCCCCTCACCCTCTTCCTTCTAGCTTTACAACTCTTATTGCCTGTCCTGACCATGTTTGTAGGCATCACCCCATCACTGGTTCCTCCAAGGACAATAGTCTTCATATCCTATTCTCCAACCTAGTGGGCAGCAGCTTTGAAGTAAAGATACAGTAAGTTACAAAGTTACCATCTGCAGAAAGAAAGCATACATTTCCCCAAACCTACAGAAATTATAATTATAACTCTGAGAGTGAAAGAAGCAGAAGCAATTTTGGCATGGGCTTGGGTTGTGGTTTGGTTTTATTTTAAAATTTATGATTCATCATAACATTAAGCACAACACCAGGTTCAGCAAGAGGAGCATTAGTAAGTAAGGAGCAGATGATCAACTTTCTGACCAAAAAAACCCAGGGGAAAAGAAAATATCTGCTAACAAGTAAGAAGGTAAAACTTCTCTACAGTCTGACACAGAATATATAATGTGGTCCTAAAGTTATGGCCTGAGTCTCACAAACAAGTTGACATATTTCTTTCCTGTGAGTACTTATGTCCTTTTCTGTCTGTTTTGGTAGTTTTCAGTAAGAAACTGACTCCATCTGGTACTTTGGTTTTGTGTTGCTTTAATTGAACCGTATACCCAGGGTCAGAAGCTAATGGTTGCAACTCTAGCAGTGAGCAAATATTATTTACAATTGAAGAAAAGTGGTGAAATGTATAAATCCTTAACTAAGTTTTGCTTCTGATGGCTAGTGAAGTCAGTAGAGAATTGCCTGCAGAGATCAGAAACATAGCTAATGGGACATTCATTTTTATCTAAACCAAGTTCCAGCATGCTTTAGATTGGATGCTCTTAGCTGGTGTTCCAGGTATACCAGCCAGAAGTGGCAGACTGACCACACTGTTCCATGCCAGTGCCACTGACTTTTGGAAAGCAGGCAAGAGAAAGATTCAGGGAATGTCAACACTGGAGCAGGTGGAACAATTGCCCCGCTATTGCAATGCCAAAGGTGACATTTTGGTAAAAATCACCAGACAGACAATGAAAATTCAGTTTAGATTGGTCTGACACTTAAATGCATGTGCATATTTAACACAGATTTAGATTGCCAGGCCACCTACCTTCCCAAACCGAAACTCTCAGTGAAGAAATTGCTCTTCCTATTTTAAAGCATTAACTGTAAATAAACAGGCTCACACTTACATACTTTTAAGGTAAATTTCCTCTTTTGCAAAGTTGAGGAACAGTACAGACAAGATTCACTTTCACTGCTGTGGTAGAAAAGCTGGTTTTAGCTACAAAGATTTTCATATGAGAGATTCTCCCATTCACAAGGACTGCAATCACAAGCATCATACACTCCTACATATCCCCTCTTCAGGGCTTTTTCAGCTGACATCCAACTTGGGGTATGTAATTTCTAGCTCATTTTCTTGCCACATGGATCACAGATAATTTTTCAGTGTTACGGACTGTAGCTTCCACAAAAGATATTCTGAATTTTTAACTTGCCTTATGTGACACCTTTGAAGCTATTGATATCTAATAGTAAAAACACTGACTTCTCAGAGCATCTTGTTACCTAATATCTTTTGACTTTGAACAATTGTACATGCCAGGAAGTATAACAGCAAGAACAAAAGCACTTATGACAATTCCTTTACAATCACTTACATAAAAATTTTGGTCATTTTAACTTGAAAGATTTTTCAACTTCTAAAAACACAAAATAATTGAAACTATGATTAAAAACTGGAGATGTCTTGTAGCCCATCCAGTATAAAAGGGGTTTTCCTCTCAGCACTAAGAAGTGACATGCTCCTATTCTTTATCATGTTTTCCTACACCATACAACTAGCCTTGCTCAGTTCTCATAGTTTAGGTTAAGTCTCTACTTGCCTTTCTGCAGCTTCCCACTTCTAATTAAAATAAATAAATAAAACACAAGCCTATGTTGTGTACGTAGTAGCACAATTGTTTAGAATAGCTTTAAAGTCAAAGTATACAATCTATTCCTTCCTAGCAGGTAGCATGTTTAAAGTTCTACGTTCTCCTGTGCTTCATTAACCAGATACAACTTTCTGTGATTGCCAGCTGAGCTGAAATGCTCATTTGCCCTCTACAATGCCACTTCAGTCTTCTGACTTGGCTGAATGAATTTGGTAGGACAAACATCCCCTGAGCAAGATGAAACCAATCATCCCACAACAGATCCATCATGTTCTGCAAGCAGAGTGCAAATTTGACACAATCAGTTCTCAGCTCATACTAGATCAGGATAAGGATTTATCTCCAGCAACCGTGCAGAACAGAGTCTGTCCACTCTGTGACTGCATATGTTACACATCTGGCTAGCTTGACTTGTAATTTGCTGAAGCAGGAATTTCACAGAGAAGCTGAAATGGTATGTCCACATAACAAAAGTGCCTGCCCTTCAAAAGAGCAAACTCCCAGCACCAGTCTGAAACAATGCAGGGTCAGATTCAGCAAAGCAGTTCCTTGGCTAGAGCAGGCTCACTGATAACTCCACAGATACTGCCTGGTTTATATAACAGCCTCTCCCTGGATGCTAAACAGACCTTCAAACACAGAGTGTCAGCTAGGCGAGTGGTCCAGAGTTTGGGGAGCAATGTCACCTTCTGTAGTAATTTATTTTAGTAAACTGCAAACATCATAAAGGAGAAAACAACCCATTAACATTTTTAATTACATTTACTACTTTTAATTACATACACAACTTTGAACTGCTCCTCTCATGCACCTAAAAGCTAATTCTTTCAGCTGTCAGGCAGAACAAAAGCCAGACTGATAAGGATGAATGCACATGCAATAAAAAAAATTTCCACAAAACCTAAACCAAAAACTTGAACTCAGTTATAAGCACCATAAGATTACATTACTGTAGTAGCTCTAGTACTTATACATGCTCCTAATACCATTTTATCACTTGAAAGCTACTCAAGCTATACATCGTCATGACAGAAAGCCCTTTGCTATCACATTCACCCCTCTTTCTTAGACCTGAGAGGCTAGAAAGATATAGATCACAGCAAAATCCTTCAGAACTACATCAACAGTGAAAGAAGAAAGAAGAAAGAAAAAAGAAAAAGTTCAATTCACCATAGCTGGGGCTGACAGCTAAATGCAGCCATTATCTTTCTAGGTCATTTTGTTAATGCACCTACTACAGTAATGCACCTTAAGTACAGAAGTCCTGTATTTCTGAGAGCCCTCCTAGAGACTATCATAATTTTCTGTCAGTCCTTCTATAGTTCTGAAACTATACCTTTAAGACTGTCTCCAGTCTTACCTAGGCAGCAGAAAGAGAACATTCCACCAACTCTGAGATTTACAGAAAAATCATAAAATTACAGGGTTGTAAAGAACTGCTGTTTCTGCACTTCCTGAAGAGCAAGGAGGTAAATTCCTGCTTCTTCTGTATAATGACTCCTGGATAAGTTCTGCAGCATGACCTAGGGTGAAGTTATACTAAACCCAGCAGGTACAAGAAAGGAGTGGGAAGCAGGGGAAATGTGTCTGAAATAGAGGGCAGATACCCGCTCCCCTCCTCTTGCAGTGTATCTACTGAGCTCTATTCAGCTCTGACAGACTGCACTGGTAATGGCACCAAACTGAACCAGAATCGCAAAAGGACTCAGGACAGGAGTAAAATAAAACAGTGACGACACACAACAGACATCAGTTGGGCACTGTGTGATTCAGCAAAAAGGATATGCCCATCTAAAGGTTAGAAATGTCCCTCATTAACTGATAGAAGGAAAGAAGAGTGGAAGTTCAAGGGGACTTACAGACTCTGAAAATGTGGGGCAAACATGTGACACGTGTCTTCACATGCAGCAGTGTAATCTCTGGTCTGCACTACCAAAAAAAAAAAAAAGTAGTCCCAAACTATCTGCAACATACAGGATAGAAGAAACTCTTAACATTCCTTCAGAACACTTTAGCAGACAAGCTCTTGCTGTGTCACTAATTACCACTTAAAACAAAGCTTACAGATGACTGTCATTCCCTGAGTGCAACATACCTCACATTCCAGGCAGTGGTGAAGTCGGGGTTCAGCAGCAGCAAGGTACACGTGATATCTATCAGCTCTAAAACGATAGAACAAGAGGCACCACGATTAGTAATGATTCACACACAGCAGTGTTCCCTCTGCACTTCCTTTAATCCCTGTCATTCCTCTAAGACTCTCTGTCACAGGCTGCTGTACCTACGTATGACCATCTCTGTAAAATATTGCTGTCTCATTCCAGAAGAAATGATTGCTTAATTTAAGAGGGAGCAAAACCTGCCATATCCTCCCTTTTTATTATTTAAAATAATGAACTGAGTATGCCCTCAGCAAGGGAAAAAAACATTATACAGAATCCTTGTGTATTCAGCAATTTAAATTGCACACACACTGTATATATCAGAAAAAGAGAATTCTTCGCAGAAAATCCAAAGAATTTAAATATGATAGTACAACTAAAAATATACCTTACTATTTCAGTACAAGTCTGAGCTGCAGATGACTGCCATATACCACACTATTACAAAGAATACACACACTATAAAAAATCTGCAGCTAGAAAAATTAAACACCATAACCATGAATCAGGATTACAAAATTACTCTACTATTAAACTGCACAGAAAAAGTTTGAAACTTCAAAGAAAAACTTTAAATACATTATGAAGTGCTTCAGACTAAGGTTTTAAGACTAATCCACTAAAAAAATCCAAACAAAAAAATAAACCATGTTTTCCATCCTGCATTTAAGCACTGGTTACTGTAGATTTATATATTACACTTATTTTTAACAATGTCATAAAAAAAGACTGAGGTATACAGTTGTTTAGGATGGAAAAATAATTTCATTGTAACCTAGTCCTTCCTTTCCCTTTGCACTCCACTGCACCATTCCAGCAGTTTTGGGTCCCATCAGGGAATCAGTGGGGATTCATGAGGCATCTCCACTTAAGCTTGAGATACCAAGGACTGTCATCAACCTCTACTCTCTGAAGGTACAGCATCACATCAGTCAACCTGTCCTGAAATCACAAGTCTTACATTTACACAGTAATTCTGCAACTGACCAAGAAGTTCTAAACTGAATGTGACTATCCAAGCTTTTACTGTCCATAACGTTTGGCTACATTCTCTCCTGCATTTAACATACTAAATTCATTGTACTTCAGGTGACTTCCAGCAAATAAGAGGCACTTCATTACTTGAAGGAAAAAAAAATGGTATCTCATGGAACCAGGTCTCTGGTCAACGCAGTTAATGTGACTGTAAAATGAAATGTGAAAAAGTCAGTGATGAAACGCAACAGTAATGGAACACACATTAATGCAAACGAAGAGGGACATGGCTTCACGTATCTTTGAAACAAAAGTTAATACTGAAGAGAGTCAAAAAGTGGAATAACTTTGTGTATAACTGTATGACTGATTGATCATTTATGTCTGACAAAGTAATTTTGTGTTTCCCATGGTGTTCTCCCTTACAAGGAACATGCTAAACCATCATATAATGAAGGGGGTTGATGTGGGGTGTGGTGTAGAATTCTTTAGCATATTGTTGATTTTGCACTAAGCTGTGGTATTTTGAAAATTGTCTCAAGGAACTAACTTAATTTTCTATCTTCATGGGTTTTAGTTAAGATTATTTTTTTCCTTTAATGAAAGATTTTCTTTTATACCCCTCTTTGTTGCCAAGGAGTGAATTTCTTATACGCACAAAGCTTCCTCATTTGCTGCCTGAAGTACAAATATTTTCCTTTGATTTACCCAATCCCTGAACCAGCAAAGTATTTCAACACTTATTTAATTTCATGCAGCTGAATATCCCAAGTCAAATAACCAGGATTCCTCACATATGTAAAATTAAACATCTATCATGTGTTTTGCTGACTACTATTTCAGTTTTACCTTCAACTTAAACAGAAGCTGTCTACTGTTTTATCCATTGTCCCATTACAGAGGTTCACTGAACATTATCAAAGAAAAGATGCAGACAAAAGGAAAATCTCAAAGTAATACTCAGTACTTTCATGCCAGTGTTCTTTGATGCTTTCTGTAAACAGTAACAAATAAAGATTCATGAAGTGTGAATTCTGAGCCAGAGATGTCAAATGACACAATTTAGTAACTTCTGAGCCACTTTTCATTGAAAAGCCTTATGACAAACCCGGCACATAATGTCAGTAGTTGCCAGCTATTTCCCTCTGTGTTGGTAAAAAACCCCATCATCTTTTATTTACAATTTAAAAGTACTTTCCACTGGATATATTTTAGGCAAAGTACAGCATTGCAGGTGCTCACAATGAACACGTCCTTTTGTATATTAAAGTCTCCCCAGCTGAAAAAGGAGAAATAAAAAAATACGGCTTTTTTAAATATGGCTGTATCCAGGTTTTTAGATATTCTGGAAGTAGTTTGCAGTAATTTCAGAAGACTATCATGAGATAATACAAATACTGTGCCTGCATAAATTTTAAAAATATCAGAGAAAGGATAAAAACATATTGCAAAATTAGGTTCTCTACACTGAAACAGTAGTAAGAGAGCAGTCATGGTTGTGGATTCCAAGCATCCAAAAGAAACTGTAACTAAATTACACATCTCTGACAGTAACCTATCAGTGAACGACTATGAAGCACTTCCTTTTTCCAGGATCCGGCCAGAGAAAATATCAGACACCACATCTGAAAGCAGACACTTGAATCAGCACCCTGTTTTTATCCTCTGTTCTATTTTAAATGGTTTACAGTGATTTGAACAAAACAGAAGAGGTAACAAGAGACTACAATCACAATCACTGTTTATTACAAGCATCAACAGAATATACAACTGAGTTTTAAAGCAGTAACAAATAAATCTATCCCTTCACTAGATTCAAAAGAAAACAACTACCTGCCAAATTCCAAGCATGCACTTTTGTCTAAAAAAAGGAAACTGGAGCAAAATTCCTGATACTTCAAACAGAGAAAAAAGTAACATCTCTTGATAGAGTATACCTGCTTATGACACTTCAGAGGTAATTCTCCAAGGCCACCTGGGAAAAACTTCCACCTTTTTCCCTTCACCACTGCAGTTCAGTTTCTGCTAAAACTTCCTACCAAATGTGAAACTCAATTATGGTAAAACATATTAAACTTCTTTACAAACATGTTATTAACATGAGGGCCTTGATCATGTTTTACATTGGTGACACAAAACCTCAGCAGACATGAAAATGCTGTGGATTACCTCACACATTTGAAACTGACTTTTTTAACAGAAGAGACAAAGGAGAATGGTGTTTCATTTTCAAAACAAACCCAAAAGTTGCAAAATACAGGCAGCAATCTAAAATTCATGCTACTGCAGTATTCATCCACACAGTTTTATGATCTGCATTTTGAGAGGAAGGGTTCTGCAAGGTTTCATCAGGGAGGGAAGCAGAGACACTCCTCAAGCAGTCGGTGCACCCACCATCCTGGCAGAACCAGCAGGTGCAACAGTGCCACGATAACACAGTGCCTGCACTGGTGTGACTGCAGCAGGGTGGCAACACACCAGCATCCAGCTGCCCTTTAGATAACAGCTATCAGGGGTCATCGGACACCCAAAAATGTGACACAAATCTCAGCATGTGCAGTTTGGCTTGAAACAAGTTTCTGTCTGTGTGAAAACTTCAAAGGGTAGACTTTACCATAACAATTAATTGAGACCAAAAATGAAGTATCCCCCCAGGAGATCTGCAGCATGATCACAATACACATCACAAACTCCTGTCTCAGACCTGTAAAAAACGCTGCAATGACAACCACTGGTGTTGCTAAAACTGGCTGTGCTAGTAGGTTCAACTCTTTAAATGCTCAAGTTTGTATCTGGCTATGTCCCAGACTCAACATTAATTATATTCCCTATATTAAAGCCCTTTTTATTAAATTTACAATACTTACATTATTAACCTTCTCTGCCATTTAATGTTACTCTTCAAAATGCTTGCATTATATATCCAGTTTGTAAGAAGGAATTGAAGTGCTTCATAAATCTAGACCCCCACCTTCAGGTAAAAAAAAGTAGGCAATATTCACTGCCTTTCATTCATTCATTCATTCATTCAAAGGTTCACTAAAGACCTCAATCTTCTCTCTCTGTATCATCCCCAAATGCAAAAGAAACTCAGGTGCACATTTATGTAAACTCAACTACACCATCTGACTGCCCCTTACACTACAGTTTAATGAGGATAAGTGCACAGCTGGCTTCATCCACGTAAAGTGAAACAGAGTACAGTAACAAAATACTAGAGAAAAGCAAATGCCAGTTATATCAAGAGAGGGATGTTACTGACCACACATTTTTTCTGATCTACACAGGCCTACTCTCAAAGCCTATCTGTTTGAGACAGTACAACACATTACCTACATGATGACTAAATGCCAGTTTGCATCAAATATCTGCTACTATCCCACTACTTAAACATAATTCTTTAACTCACTACTTCATAAAGCAACCTGGGAGATTGCCTTTGCTATAGCTGCAATCAATACAACCCAGTGAATAGGGGCTGTTTCGTATGCTTCAACAGGGGAAGACAATCCCACACATTTTAGCACACAATGGACACAGCCAGTGCCTTACGGATAGATTAATTACATGCAAACAGAAAAAAAATAACATACGATAACAGCCCCAAACTGAAACCCAGCTGCATGTTAAAGATCTGAACTTTTAAAGAGGTCACAGGGTGCCCTTCAACAGAACAGATACCCCTCTGAGAAACAAAAATGTGAAAAATACCATAGCAGGTAGAAGATATCAGAAAGAAGTCTTAAAAAGAATAAACATCAGAAATAAGACACTGAGATAAGCTTAGCATAAGAACATTCTTTATTCCAATTGCTATTTAGAAGAGACTGCAACAACATACAAAACTTTCATTTCATAAACTAGTTACTCTTTTTCATTCTTACTCCAAACTGGACACTTACTAAGCAGTCAAATCTTTCCTGTGTCACAGCTATTTATAAATCTTTATTTTGAATTTTTTAAACAACATATACTAAAGAATCTTTCATGCAAGTCATAATAAACTAAAAACCAAACCAAAACAAAGAGATGAGAAAGGAAATAAAACTTTACAATTACCAAGACATATGGACTAATGATTTCTGGTACCCCAATACCTGAAACACACTGCACTTGTTTCTTATTTCAGATACATGTATCACCAGTTTTCCTTCTGAGCCAGGAAAGCAGGAGAAAATTCCTTTTGTATCAATTAACATCACTTCCATAAATAACTTACTGAAGTAAGTTGTCTCTCTCTAACCTTTCCAGCTTGGGTAAGAGAGAAAGGATTTATATTTTCAACTCAACTTGTTCAAGTTGGCAAAACGCACTACCCAAAGCCTGCTCTTCTCCTCAGAAATAATAATTTCTTCCATAACAGGTTGAACTGGCATTATGAAGGGTAAGTGACCTGGAAAAGGGAATTGAGTGTACTCTCAGTCTGTCCGCAGATTACACCAAGTTGAGTGGGACTGTTGATCTGCTGGAGGGTAAGGAGGTTCTGCAGAGGGATCTGGACAGGTTGGACATGGGCTGAGGGAAACTGTATGAGGTTCTAAGGGGTCCTGTCCCAGGGTCACTATAACCCCATGCAACGCTGTAGGATTGGGGAACAGTGGCTGGAAAGCTGCTTGGTGGAAAAGGACATGGGGGTGTTGGCTCAGAACTGGCCGAACACGAGCCAGCAGCATGGCCGAGTGGCCAAGACGAACAATGGCATCCTGGCTTGGATCACAACGGCGTGTCCAACAGGACTGCGGTAGAGACCGTCTCCTTGTACTCACTGACACACTGAGGTGCTGGAGCGAGTCCAGAGAAGGCAGCTGGAGCTGGTGAAGGGTCTGTAGCCCAAGTCTTATAAAGAAGAGCTGAGGGAGCTGGAGGAGTTTAGCCTGAAGAAAAGGAGGCTCGGGGGAACCTTATCACTTCTATAAAACTACATAAAAGGATGTTGTAGCCAGGTAGGGGTCAGCCTCTTCTCCCAGGTAACTAGAGACAAGACAAGAGAAAATGGTCTCAGGCTGCACCAGGAGAGGTTTAGGTTGGATATGAGGAAAAATTTCTTCACTGAAAGTGTTGTCAAACACTGGAACAGGCTGGCTAAGGAAGTGGTGGAGTCATCATCCCAGGAGGTATTTTAGAAGATATGTAAACACTCAGGAACATGGTTTAGTGGTGCACTTAGCAGTGTTAGGTTTATGGCCGGACCTGATAACCGTAAGGGTCTTTTCCAAATTACATGATTCTATGATACATAAAAAACGTGCACTAAGAACCACATAATATACAATTCTCCAACTGGGTAACTTACCATCTTTGTTCAGCCACTGTTTTCTTTGTTTGTAGAGGAGAAGTTTATTGTGGACATATGGCAAAAGAAACTTGACACACCAGCTCTCCACACCAAGCTTGTTTTCTACCAGGACAATAGGGCTCCGGTTATACCTGGCTTCAGGGCAGGGTATTAATCCAATTTCATCTCTTAAAAAACAGAAAGAAACATAATTAAACTTATTTCCAGTAGATAACAATTCTTTTTCTCAATGGAGCATGCTGGCAATGCTTCCCACCCAATCAGTCCATCATCTTTTTTCCTTGTTTTTGCTGAAATCTGTAATGTGAAAAGTTTAATTCCATTTTCCCAAAGATCCTAAATGAGGAAGGCCCCTTTTTTTTCTATATTTTTAGATTATCACCTAAGCAGTTTAACTCAGCTGAATTAACACAACTACCCCTGTTTTTTTAATAAACAGGCAATGGAGCTGTAACAATGCTACTGCAAGGGAAACAAAACATGCTAACTTGTACAGGCACTTCACCGATCCAAAGCTACCCACGTGTGCCCCGCAGCAGCATAATCGGGTGCTCTAAACGAAAAGATCACACAGAAGAAAATCACATAGACTGTCACATGCTCGCTTCCTCATGTCCCATTTTTCATTGTCCTGTGCGAGGCAGCATGATCAACAGGGGGAAGATTTGAGACACAGAGACTAGTCTGAGTAAAACGGCAACTCTGTATGAGGGACCTTAGCCTTTAAAAAAACAGTGACAAACACAGAACTTGTGCCAGCAAACAGAGCAGAAGAGACTCAGCTGTTTAGTTTCAATGTGCCATACCATATTTTATTTTTTCCTCAGGTTTCTCTAGCATGTAACGATATTGGAATAGCAGTTTTAACAGCTTCTTAAAAAAACCCACAGGTTGTCAAGCATTCACACTTGTTTGGACAGAAAGCAACATTATTTTATATTTTGCATTATGCATAATTTCTCCACCAACTCCTGTTCAGTGGAAAAATTTGTTGCTAGAGAGGGAAATCCTCAGATCTCAGGCAGGACGAAGAAGATTTCTTGTGATCTCAGATAAAAAGTGAATTCCCCGCCTCAAGTCTTCTCAATAAAAGATCTGTAGATACACTTCAAGTGTCAACCCCTCAACCTCAACTCAATTATCTTAAATGAATTTTGTCACTGGGCATTTTGAGTGTACTGATTTAGTTCTGTGTCCTTACTGGATTACTAACAAAGTAATCACAGTGACACAATGTGCTCGTTTAAGAATTTATTTGCTTATTCAGAAAACAGATTTAATCTTCCATACATCACAACATTAGAAGCCATAAAGAACACAAGTAAGGTGAACTTAAGGTAAGACACTTGCAAATCATGTGGTTCTGTTTCCAAACACACATCCAGCTCCCTTAACCCTCCCTGGTCATCTGAGGACAGAGGGAAGGAAAAAACCATTCTCCTACCCCATCACCAACAAGCAATGGGTATCAAACCAATATCCTAATCTGTGCTACTCCATTTAACACAAGTTAAGTTCTTCATGAAGCTAGTCAGATTAAACCTAAAATGACATTCCAATCTACTTATTTCAACACGGTATCTCAATAACCTGAAATTTGTACTTACTACTGAGTCTTTTCTTTTACGAATGTTAAACCCAGCCAGCCAAACTACCTGGCCTTGCATATAAGGACCCAAAAGTACCCAAATAAAATGACAATACAGTCACCCACAGCTTTGTTCATTAACTCTGTGAATTACCTTAAGAATTTACCAGCTGTAACATACAAACAGAACACCAAAGCAGAAGAGAAAAACAGTAAACAGCAAGGAGAGAAAAAACCCCAAAGCATCCATTCACACCTTCACTTTCTACGAAATACAAAAAGTCTGACTCAGGTGAGCTGTTTCACAACACTGCTTTGAACACGCCAAAATGTCTGACAGGTACAGTTTGCACAAAGCTGACAAGTCAGCTGGGAACACCCCAACTCCAGTGTGCACTCAGGCAGTCAAAACCACAAGAGGACTTCTCCACTGCATAGCGAAATTCACTAAGACACAGTGCAATACAAACAACGGTTTATCTGGTAACTACTCAGTTTTTGCTAGGATGCAAACCAGGATCTGTCATTTGGTAGGAATCTTGTCTCCAACACTGTGTTATTGTTTTTGATGATCGTGTGGTTCAGAATCACAGAATATGCCAGATTGGAAGGAACCCACAAGGATCATCGAGTCCAACCCTTAGCCCTGCACAGGACCGTTCCCAAGAGTCACACCATGTGCCTGAGAGTGTTGTCCAAACACCTCTTGAGCTCTGTCAGGCTTGGTGCTGTGACCACTTCTCCGGGGAGTCTGTTCCACTGTCCAGCCATCCTCTGTGTGAAGAACCTTTCCCTAATATCCAACCTAAACCTTCCCTGACACAACTTCAGGCCATTCCCTAAGGTCCTGTCACTGGTCATCATACAGAAGAGATCAGGGCCTGCCCCTCCTCTTCCCTTCACAAGGAAGTTGTAGACTGCAATGAGGTCTCCCCTCAGTCTCCTCTTCTCCAGGCTGAACACACCAAGTGACCTCAGCCGCTCCTCATAAGGCCTCCCCTCAAGGCTTCGCTGGCCTGCTCTGGATGCTCATTAATAGCTTAATATCTTTCCTCAAATTGCATTTAGTTCCTGAGAAGCAAAAGAATTCACAATGCAAAATACCAGTAAAATGTATTTATATAAGGTGGAGTGCCTATCTCACACACAAAACAATTCATTCAAGCCACCATCTATTTATGCTCCTGAAGGTCCGTCAGGTGTATGGAAGGACTAAGTCACAGGGCAGGTCTGCCAGCCCAGGAGACCCTATTCAAAAATACCTGCAGCCTCTGCTCCAATCATGTACCCGAGGAAAGATTCTGCAATAGGACTCACATGCAGACACTGCTGAATTAGTGCTTGCAAAATGAAGCCACTGACCATGTAAACTGCCCCTGGCCACATGACAGAAGTTGTGCCTGTTCCTATGACAGGACCACCCAAACTCTTTGCAGGATGGAGGATGCATGCATTTAGATGAAGTGACAGGTGCAATCTGCTCACAATACTGAAGATGACACCAGTTGAAGGCTGCTGTTCATTGGTATTTGTACTGTCAGACGCATCATCTAAAGTAAGGTTCAATTTCTCTCCCTAGATTTCCCAGTTTTCTGATATTATTTCTTGAAGTTTGGGACTTATTCGGTGCTTTCACATTTATTTTCCTCAAAGCAAGGACCACAGTCACATTCCAAAAATTTCATGCATTATCTCAAGATACACATAAGAGCACATTCCTAAAATACACTGTGGAAGCAGTCAGAACTCAGTGGAAGATTTTGGGTGAGTTGTCATGAAGTCTGCAGCCACTACAGTGCTTCTTAAACCTTAGCTAAGATCAGAGATGTGCAAAATGACATCTGTAGTGGCACAATCCAGACCTTAGACATGGCACAACAGTACTGACAAGCCATTGCAGGACCTGTTTTAATAGTCCTTGTCTGTTGACTCAGTCATTCAGTGGCCCTCCCCAAAAGAAACCCTAGCCAACCTACTTTCAACTTTTAAAGCCATGATGATACAAAAAGCTTCCCCCTTTCACAAAACTATAACACCACAGTACCACTAGGGAAGGAGGTATTTCGTGTGATGATACCATGATGGGTGTTCAGCTTTAGAGACCCCATGTGAAGGGACTTTCTCTAATTTCTTTTCTGGAGGATCATCTTTAAAATAACACAACCTCTCACCACAGAGTTAGACAAAGGGTGTTAAATAATGGCTGGGAGATCTAAATGAGGTACAATCAGCGGACATGATGCAACTGCGGTTCTACTGGCCATAAAAACCAGACTCAAGTAGTTGAATATTTCTGCAATTATAAGAACTTTAATACTGGAAGACAATCCAGAGTATGGTCACAGGTGTATATTTTCACATTAAAATAAGACTCATGAAATTGCTATGTGGATAATGCGTTTACAGCATCTCAGAGGTAGGGAAGAGGGGACCTAAATCCAAGAGTTGAAATTTCTTCTTTTTATTGTGCAGTGTATCATATACACTCGATTCTCTTTTACAATTTCAAATAATAGAGTAACTTGCATGTTGTGATTAGGGATTATTTTCATGGCACTACCAAAATCTTTCATAAAGAAAAGAACAGTAATACATTACTGAAATCCAAACTACTTCTAGCCCATATTTACTTCTAAAGAAGCTATAAATATGACACTTTTACTGTTTAGGAATTTCCTTTTGTTTGCTCTCACATTAATCTCCACTTGATTGGAAACTTCTGCGGCAGTAACAAAGTTCTGCACTGATAACCCCTCTCACCAAGTACTATAAGCAAATTATTTTTACTTTTTATGGCATATTTGGAAGTATCAGTGCTGCACAAAAGTATCAAATAATGAAAATTACATTGGCGAGACAAATGTCATACTCCACTACATATAGACTTCACAGAGTATGTTATTTTCTGAATCCCCTGCAGAGAAATTTGTAATCTTATCAAGAGGATCCTTGACTCAGAGCCTTCAAACTTAACAGAACGAAGTGTGGTATTTTTAGAACATTAAGAATGACAAGAATTGAGACAGAAAAAAATATCTGATCTACAGTGACATAAACAATTCTTGGCAAAGCATAAATAGTATCCTCAGATTTTGTACACAAATGCTGGGCTACCATCTAACAGTTCATTTTTCCAGTTATGTCCAACAAATCCATGAACTTTTTTGACAAGCACATCTATTTCTGCTTCACTTTACATGTAAAAGAACAGCAAAGTTCAAAGAAAAAGTATGTATTGATCTGTTCACTGTTGGTGATCTGTTCAGTTCCAGTGGAATAGCTCACATACAAGACTTTGCCAAGACCTGTGGTTGGAAAACTGGGTAAAAATACCTCACAGTAAATTCAAAAGACGCCTTAGAATATTGAAAACTAGCATGCTGACACAGTTATCTAACTAAGGAAAATGGAGCTATCAGAAAGAAAAGGCAAAAATAATTTTGCGCTGTATATTTACTTAGAAGTAAGCTCATCTTAAAAAGGTATACAGTCTTGTTGCAAATTTCATTTAGAGCAAAAAAAAAAAAGAGAGAAACATAAATCCTAAATTCTACTTAGTCTAAAACTGTATTTTCAGAACTTTTCAGTGCTGATCCTATTTTAAAGCTTACAAAACTACGAACCTGCCAAAACAACACATCCATTCTGAGAGATGTGAAGTGGGAAGGTGCACAAACAGTCAAAAACAAGGGTCAATAAATACAGGAAAAGAGGTGAGTAGGGGACAAAAGTATGACAAGTGAATAGGAACGTTATGCCTGTGGCAGATTCCTTATTTTCAGTGAAGCCAGGCAGATCCCACATAAACGAATTCAAGCCTGGATCTGTGACATGCTGAATTCAAGAGGATACCTTCTTTTAGGGACTGCAGCTGGTTATAACTGCATTGGCCACCAGCAGGAGGACAAGGTGCAGATACATGAAAACATCCAGATAGCAGAGCTGCAAGTTAGATTAGCTCAGCTGGTTAGAGCATGGTGCTAATAACACCAAGGTTATGTGTTTGATCCCTGTATGCGCCATTCACTTCAGAGCTGGACTCGATGATCCCTCTGGGTCCCTTTCCACTCTGACTATTCTGTGAACTATGTGAACCTTGGTGCTCCAGAGGCAGAGAGGCAGCATAGCAAAGGGCCCACAGCCTACACTGGCCTGCATGGTCCCACTTCAAGTAGTGTCAACCAGTCAAGAAGTCTAGCAGACAGAATTGCCACTTTTTCTGCTTTGGGGGATAAACTTGCAGTAGCTTGTGCTTTCTCACCTGAAGCATGACACAGTGCATCAGTCTCACTGCACACAACTCTTGCAGTGTGCTTTCATCTCTGAGATTATATTTATGACAGAAAACTGCAACAGCAGCATATCCTTCAAAAACTCAGTTTGCTACCAATAAACAATTCTGGTGAAGGAGTGGGAACTTAGAAGAATCAGAACATTCATTCATAAATATCGACTGTTTACAGCACATTATGCCTCACATGCTAAAAATGAAGCTGAAGGCAAAACACAGTCTTTTTTTAAACAGCATCCATATGCTGCATTTTAAAACCTGAACACCCACCCAAGCTGCTTACTACATTTACAGAAACATGAGGGTATTTATTCTAATTCTCTCTTTTAAGCAAAGGGATAAATCAAGTGCCATAAAATTTCCTACATAATTGCTTAGCCTACCATTGTCTGGAACAGATTAATAGGCCACCACCTCAGAGACTGCAGTGTTCCCAACCGACACAAGTTATGAAAGTGTTATTCATTATGTGGTACCTCATTTGCCATAACCAACATGGAGCTTGCATAAATAGATAGAAAGATGCTTCCCTAAACCACTGGTGTCTTAAAACAATGGCTGTGAAGGAAAAAGAAATAAGGGAGGTACTTCAAACAGGGTGTCTAAGCTGGTCAACAGTGAAACCGAAAATAAAACACAGACCATCTGCCCCACAGATTGTTGGATAAATCTGATTCTCACAAGGCAGCCATAACTGCAGTTTGTATTTTCACGGTCATTCTGTCTCCTTCAAAACAACACACTGGCATCTCTATCAACAGATACAGATTTGAGGGTGGCATTCACACACTGCACTGTTTGTGTAAGGGTGCAATTCAGTGGGCTTCAAGCCCGAGCTTTGTTCCCACCGGCGCCGATGCTCTACCCCAGGCACACACAGACCTCGGTGCGTCCCGCGGGGCTCGGCAGGGCTGACCCACCCGCCCGCAAAGCTCAGCCCCACCCCGACGCTGCGATGAGTTCAACACCAACAAAAGTCAAGCGCGAGGAAAGTTCACTTCAGAACTTTTCTTTGAAAATATACTCATCGCTTCCAGATTCCGGAGGCCCCGCTGGTGTCCGTGACTCGACATCGGTTCTCCCGCCAGGCTGCGGATCCCCAGCGGCCGCGGCGCTCAGGGGCCCAGGCTCCCGGCAGGTCCGCGGCGCTACCGGGGAAGCTGAGGGCGGCTGCAGCGCACGGACACGCGGGGGCACCGCGCCCTGCCCCGACAGGCACAGGTTTGCCACGCAGCTCGAAAACCCAGCTGGTCCCCGCGGCCACTCACGGCGTGACCTTGGGCCAGGGCAACCGGCCCGGCCCAGCACCCGGCCCCGCGGGACCCGCACCCCGCCCGCCCGCGGCCGCGGGGCGAGCACGGGCGGAGGGCGGGCAGCGCTCCCTCCCTTCCTCCCGCCCGGCCCGGCCCCGGCCGCACTCACATGTGCGGGTTGCGCTGGAACGCGTTGCGAATGTCCTTCACGACCCGCTGCACCAGCACCGCCACCTCCTCCGGCGACTCGGCCATGTTCCCGCAGGCCCCGGCGGCCGGCGAGCGCTTCCGGGGCAGCGCGAACTGCGGGGAGCGCGGGCGGGACGCGGGCAGGGCCGGGGGCCGGCAGTGTGCGCGTCACTGTCGGCTGCGGCTTCTCTTGTTTTGACAGTCGCGCTAGGCGCTAAACCACGTATCTCTGAACGATGAGCAGGTGTGTATAGCCTTCCCTGACTCCGAAGAGAGATGGGAGCGCTTATCTTCACGGCTGAATGCGGAGAGGCGATTGTAGTTCTGCATCCTAACTCTTGCGTTTGATTGCCGTTTAGAAATTAATACGTTATTCCGAAACAAGTTGTTTCACAAGGCATTAACTGTGCATGACTGAATTGTCTCTTATTTGAAGGCTTGCAGTGTCATCATCATCATCATTATCATCATCATCAATCTGCTTCCTTGTTACCTCCACCCCCCTCCCCCGAGAAGGCCTGGTGGACCCTTCTGTATGTTCTCCTTCAGGAAAAAAAAAAAAAAGACTGGAGAAAAGTGCTCAGTCATATGTCATCATAAGTATAAAAAAACAGAAAGATGGATGTCCCTTAGAGAAACACTGAATGTGTTCTTACCTGCTGAAGTTTGCGGTTTTTTGCTGGATTTGTAAGTAAACCAGCCTTAAAACTGTGTTTCATGTTGCCTCTTGTATTTCTGTTAGTTAAATTTTGTTATATTTCAGTGACTGTTGAAAGGTTACAGTGCTTTCTTAGGTTTTTTTCTGTATGCATGTTCCCTGAGAAAATAATTTTAGGTCTTTATGAATGCCCTTTTAACCTATAAATTGGTATATTTTTCTACATACATACCTTATTCTTGTTTTCACAAAGTGCTTTGTTTTTGTTCTGTTTAGGCTCATATTCCTCTGGTTGAAAGTTATGTAGAGCACATACCCTGGAACTAAGAGCCAGGATTTCCTGCTTTCCCAATTCCCGTGATTTTCTTATTTTTTCATTATTCTGGTCTGGGGATTTTGTTACAACACTAATTTCTGTAGATAATCTGAGGATCTCTTGGTGCTCCTACATGTCAAACCATGTAATTGCAGAATTCTGAACTATGCTGGCCAAGCAGAGCTCTTTACTCATAGAATATAGTATGGAGAGAAAGAAAATGCAGTTATGGCAAAGAAAAGATTCACATAGGAATCTTTCTCCAAGAAACTGTAGTTGACTGGGCTGCAGATTTGAAGACAATAGCATCCTGAGACTCTCTCTGGGTTTTTTTCTTCTGAGTTACCTTGTGGATCTCCTAAGATGAGTAAATTAAGGGTCAAACACTGGTACAGTTCTATTAGACACCTTTTTAATAATGAAACTGTAGCTGCTGGGAAATGCTTGGACGTGAAGACAGGGGCGATTACAGGGTCGCCACTGGTACCGATTCCAGAGCCTGCCCCAGGACAGTAGGGGGCGAAATAGCACCTTATCCCTCGTGCTTTTAGGGACGTGACCCACCTTGGATTGCAACTCCGGCTGCAGATGGGTAGATGTATTCCCTCTCTGTGGCTGTGCCAAGAAAATGCCATGGCTGACTCCTCTTGATGAGAATGCTGTCTAGAATACTGCCTGTGGATTTACAATACGGATTGATGTTTGAATTCTACTCCTAAAAAACCACGGAGACATAAAAGCATACTGCTCAGGGCCTTTCCTAATATTAAAATCACTTATTGCATATTTTTTTTGCACCAAGTAGCTTTGATTGTAGGCTTGTTTACTAATGGATTGATATAGTTTCATACTACTATTTTTTTTTTGGTGAATTTTCCCCACCAACAGTCTTTGCTAGAATAAGATAAGCGTCAGGTTTGATTGTTTGTCTAGCTCGGGCCTTGATGACTGTCCTATTGACTGTCCTATTGAAACGCACACTCGCTGGAATGATTAAGGGAAACCCCATCTCCCTGTAGCCACGATGGAGGGGTCGGCCCAGGTGGGGGGTGGGGAGCATTAGGCAATGAGCCTTTTAGACTGGAGGGGGGGGGGCGTGGAATTTATTCCACTTCTGCCCTACTTCTTTGGTGGGGTGAAGGGAGACCACAGTTTTCCACCATTTCCATCCTCTGCTGCTTCTGTTGCCTTCGGCACTCGGTGATTGCTTTGTTGAGACTCCCAGAAGCTTGGGAGGGGTCCCGGCTCACCCCACCACCACACGTGCCCTGTGGACTGCCACTGATGTGAACTGTATGTTTGTTTGGGAATAATTAGTTAGCAGTGATGGATCCCATACTGAGTGGGCCTGAGTCCACCCCTGTTCCCTGGTGGTCTTTACTTGAGGTAACAGTTGAATTTGGTGCATATTATTGAGCTGAGTTGTCAGGAAGGAAAAGGACCCTGTGTAAAAAAGCCTCACGTGGTTGTGGAGGGTTGACCCAGAAACAGTGAGCTCACAGCAGCCACACTAATGTGAGAAAGTGAGAAAGGTGCAAGGAATGACAAAGGGATGGGCTGTGGTATGCATTTTAGGGGCTGTTGTGGTACTGCTGCACATTGTAGAACCGTCCAGTGGGAAAAAAATCCCTGCAAGTGCTCATTCACCCTCATAGTGAAAAAGTGTCTCCTGATGTTTCTAGGGAATTGCCTGTGTTTCAATTTGTGCCCATCGCCTCTGGCCTTGTCACCAGCACATCTGTAAAGAGTCTGGCTCCATCTGCTGTGTGCCTTCCCTTTGGGTGTTTGTACACATTAATAAGATCTGAACCTTTACTTCTCCAGGGTGAACAGTCACAGCCCTCTCAGACTCTCCTCAGAGGAGAAATGCACTGGTTCCTTCATCATCTCTGCATCCCTTTCGTAGGCTCTCTCTGGTATGTCCATGTTTCCTGTGTACTGGGGAGCCCCATTCCCAGGAATTCTGGGGACTCCCCCCAGCAGCAAAGGGGGCTAAACCCCCGTTCCTGGGGCTTTCCAAAAGCACCTTAGAACCTCCATGGGTTGGGGCAGCTCAGAAAAGCTGCTTTGAACTCTTTAATCCCAGAAAACCAAACCCCACTCGATTTTTGGGGTGCTGAAGGAACGGCAGCCGCGTGGGGGGGGGACACACCAATTTCAGAGGCCTGACAGTTGTTGGAGGAGATTTTTTAACCACTTCCAGAAAGTCTAAAAATATCCTAAAGCTGAAAACCTTCAGCCTAAACCTGCAGCACTCCAGTGTGGTCTCAGCAGTGCAGAGCAGGAACAGGATCACATCCCTCCACCTTTGGCAACTTTCCTCCTAATGCAGCCCAGGATGTGCTGGCACCTTTTGTTTTGCCACAAGGGCACACTGGTAGCATAATGAGCATTTATCTCTATGTGTGTCACAGAACTCTGAACTGGACCTCTGAAATTATAATTTCTTGCAGAAATTATGAATGTGTGATGAACTGAAAGAGCTGCTTCAATAAAATGTTTGAAGGACTTCATATTTAGAATTTTCCCATGATCAACCCAGGCCTTTAACCAATGACATAAAGACGTACTTATGGAGGGGACCTGATGTGGATGAGAATGGTATACGGCCTGAAAATATGTATGACACTATATGATACAAATTAAAATTTAATCTATTTTAAGCTAAAAGTTTTCTGTATATATCAGTTGGGAAGAGGGATTGCTGAAAAACAAATAAATACTTAAATAATAAGTGAGATAATGCATGCTGAAGGTGGCACTTCTTAATTTATTTTGCTGATTTTTGTACCCTTTTTGGCTGTGGAAGGCAGGAGAAGCAATATTTTGTGACAGATACATATTATTAAGACTTCAGCAACAACCTTCCTTGAATGTAGGAAATAATGTCAACCTCTAACAAATTCCTGTAAAACGGTTTAATTCATATCAGTTTTCTGTCATTAATTGTGTACTATTTAAACATTTGTTCATACCAGATGGAATGCAGTAAATCTAGAATCTCAGACTAATAGTGATTGATTTTCAGGAGACTGACAGAATGTGTTTTAGACTCCAAGCCATTTTCTCAGGCTGTCATCCAGATCACTTTAAAATATTCATTATTTTAATTTTTATTATGTCAGTTAAAGAACACTACACATCTGTATGGTGTAAGATATCCATAGCAGAAGAAAAAGTTTGGGAAGATTGTAACAAACTTCAGCCAGTGTAGGTCAGAACTGCTTTTTATTCTGTGCTTGGTTGTTAGTAGGTTAAGTTTCCCTTCCAGGACTGGGAAAAAAGCAGTAAAAAGATGTTGACTTCCAAACTTAGATACTTATGCTCAAAAAGCACAGATAAAATGAAGAAAGGCTGTTTAAATAAAAAGTCATATGCTAGAGGACGTAATGTAGCTTGCAGAGGGAGAGCCTTTGTATGTATTTTACTCCTTTTTTCTGTCCTTCTTTGATCTTTTGGTGCAGATATACCTGACCTTACCCAAACTTCACAACTGGATGTCAGCAATCAGATGTTCTGGTGCAACTCTTGGCAGAGACGACTTAGTAGTACTCTCTGTTGCATTTTAGAAATAGAAGTGTGGTTTATTTTTTTTCTTTGCCTTGAAACCATTGTCATTTAGGTGAAGACCTGTCAACATGCTATTTACAAATATATTGATTGCACAGCATATGACTATATACACATAGTGGCAAAATCTTCTGCTACTCTAGATGTAAAAGAACACGTAATATATACTACTGTGACAGTATAAAAATACTGTGACAGTATAAAAATATACCTATAAAAAATAAAATATAACCATAAGAAAAATAAATGTTACTGTCTGTAAGCCTGCTAGCACTATAATGACTTTGAAATAAAGAACACTAAATGATGAAGACTGTTTAACTCCTGGTAGGAAACCAAGGATTTCTAACTTATTTTGGGACGTTTTACATGCTGGATCCTTTTAACTTTTGATGGAAAATATGCATGTATCTAAACTCCTGAGAAGTAATTAGTTATACTTTAGGATTATTTTCTGGTGTTTTGTTCTACTCCCCAAATCCAGAAATACCATTTTAAGCATTGTACCATAATGGGGTATAGCCTGCTCTGCAGTGCAGAGGCACTGTTTGTATCAGTGCTATTCACCCACAAGACTGATTTTATGCAGATCTGTAGCTTTGTGGTATCACTGATGTAGGTAATGTATGGTTTAAGGTACCACTGTAAGGTACTGGCCTTTTATTTAATATGTATACATCTCTTGCCAAATGAGTCATTTAGATGGTTCTCACTCTAAAACACATACGTCAACTTACTCAATTTTGGTAGGATTTTGTGTTGAACTCCGTTTTTGCATAGATCAGGTGCCTACACTGAACAATTATGCCTGATGCCATATTGGTGTCTTACCTGTCACATTTTACTTTGTTCTTACTCTTTCTGTCCTTCCCACCCCTGTGTCACCCCTGAGTAATACATACTTAAAGAAATCTAGACAAAAATATCTAGTTAGTATAATTGCTTAAATTTATCTTGACATTGCATCCAAATATGATTTCTCTTCCAAAGAACACTATATTTTGTTTCTAAAAATGCACACCACCTTCCAAGAGATTGTCCTGCTAATTTGCCTCTGATAAATTAGGATATACAGACTACTCTCAAAAAATAAATTCATAGTTTATCACCATCCTAATATGAGTTAGAGGGGAGATTTTGTTGTAGTACAAAGTGTGCATCCCAAAAGTCTATAGACAGTGAAACAGATTCATCACCACCTTCTTTTTCACAAGCATAGAAATCTTAGCTTAATTCTGTTGAATCAATTATGTGTAGTGATTGATTTCCAAGTAAGTAGAAGTGGATAATAAATCTGACATTGAGCTATAGAAAAAGAACAGTGTAGGACCCACAGTCCCTTAGGACTTTAGCTGAGTGTTTGTGGTAAATTTTGCATGGACAGCCTGTTTCCACACAGCTCATCAACTACGTTGTCTTTTTGACTGGGAAACAGAAATTAAAATCAGGCCTAGTATGTACAAGTATTGTTCAGAGATACTTTATGTAGGGAAGCACATGCTGTAATGAGTGTGATTACATTGTTCCTGTGTGAATGAAGACATGAGTGACCAGTGGATCCCTGGGCAGCTGGAACCTTGAGTGAATTAAGAACTGTGTCCCGTTTGTCCTCCGGTTTGAGCATTTTTCAGAAGACGAACGTTGGAGAACAGTTTTCGGGCATCTTTTGGAAATACACTTAAAATACAGGACTTAAAAAAGGGCTAATAGGGCTGAAAACGTGCAGGCTGTTGCATACTATTGGATAAAGCAGTTTGTTCTGATTAAAGGGAGAGTGGTAAATACATGTTAGAGGTAAAGAGATTAACAAAGGCAGGTTTAAGATTCCTTTGACAACTATATTTAGACCATCAAGTTAAATCTGAGGAATATATATCTGATGACAGTATTGACAACTATGTCTTAAAACTATTAGGACTTATTGATATGGTAGAGTGTCTTCAAATGCCTTGCAAGTAATTTCATTGAGGCCAACAGAGATATAATGATTTATATTTCTATAATGATCTGCAAACATAAAATTTGTTCTTATTTGACTGCTGTCAAAGTTTCAGGTTCTTTTTGATGAGAAGGTGGTCAAACTTGTCATGATTATTAAAAAACTTCAGAAAACTGTAAAAAATACAAAACTTGTCACTGTTACCTAAATGGACCATTACCTAAATGCATACCCCTGAGTCTGGAGTATACATTACCCCATCCAGCTGTAAAAGCTGGCAAGAACACGTCTTGTTATGTTTCTCCAGCTCCAGACAGCCACAATTCTTGGCTTATTAGGAAAGAATTTTCAAAATGCATTTTTTTGGAAATTACGTAGTCTTCTTGCTTTTGCTTCTTTTAATCTCTCAGTGTTTGCTTTGGTTTTTTGCTTCTTTCTTTCTTTTTTTTTTTTTTTTTTTTTTTTTAGAGCTGTAGTCAGTATAACATCGTGGAACCAGCTGTGTTACCAAAGCCAGATAATTTTGCCTTTTTTTTTTTTTTCCACTGTCTCATCTCAGAACTAAATGGAGATTCCTAAGTGTTGAGTCAAGGCGATAAACAGTAAAATCTTTTTTGTCTTGCAACCAGCAAATAGAATCTTTTCAGGACATTTTAGGAGGGTATTTTCTCAGTGCTTTTAGTTTTTAATATGCAGATGGCTTAAGCTCAATTCTATGGAACTAAAGTAACCAAAGCCCCCATTCCTAAAACTGACCACTCTTGAGTTACAAATTGTAGGTTTTATTGGGGGATTTTCATATAAATATTTTTATATATGTTTATTTCATATAAACCTTATTTTATTTCTTTCCCTGTATTTGAAACCTGAAGGAAGGTAAATGATTCTGCCATTGAATAAGGTAGAACCTAACCTTATTATTTTTATATCTGAAGATGTAAAAGCAGTCTGAGTCTTCTTTTCTTCTTTTTCTTTCAGTACTTTGCAGTACTTTGTATATGAAGCCACCATGCAGCAATGCACTTAAGTGAGAACTTTAAATATGATTGTGCCAAACCACTGGAGCTGTTCTGAACATGAAACCTTAATTGGATTAAGTTTCCACAAAAGCAGCATAACACTTCAAGTGAAAGACTTTTAGTCTTTCCTCCTCCTGTATTTTGTCTGTCCAGTTACCATCAAAAATACTCCATGTATTACTTATTTTCTTCTATTGTTTATGAACCTAGAAAAACCCAGAGTAACATTTAATTTTAAACACCTTATTTGTATTAATTTGTTTGGTATTTCTTATAGTTTAATTAGTCACAGCAGTAGTCATATTTAGTAAATCTGTGCATGGCATATATCTTTCACATGGTATTTACTGTGTCTTAGAGCTAGCTCTGTTACTAAAACAGTTTGTTACTGAGGAAAAAGAACCAACAACCCACATAATAATAGATGGAACACCCTTCACTGCATCCTTACTTACTTGCATACTTCTTTTGCTGTTTCTGTAAATGAGCAAAACTGATAGTGTTTGAACTATCCAGTAATTTTCATATATCAACAAGAGGTGTGTAAATAGCTTCTGTTGACAAATACCTGGAGTCTAAATAAAGTATTTACAACAAGTTTGCAACTATTGCTCTATAGTAGTTGCAGAATAATAGTTCCCTCTAGTTGTAGAAGAAACTAAGTCTTGGTAAGTTAACATGGAGAGATATTGAATTGTTGTATACCTCTAGGTGCTTCTTAAGAAGAAATTACCATCTCAGGAAACCAAAGAATGTTAACTGTCGTGTAGTTGCTATGGGCCTACCTGGAAAATAAACTCTTGCCTACAGGTAAGAATTATATGTTCCTTTTTTCCTTTTTATTTGAAGGTGAATCCAGAAATTGGAGAAAACAGAAAACAAGAGTTGTGTTGGGCATGGAAGCAAAGCCACATCTGGACTCAGATTTTAGATTTTGCAGAGGCTGTTTTGGAGGCTGATGTAATAAACCTTTCTTATTTTCAGAAATGGCTCTTCTTGTGTTGCATTTGCATTAGACTCACTTCGTAAAGACTGTATTTTCAGGGCTTTATCCTGTTTCTCCAATAATTTTGTCAGGTTTTAGGCTGGTCTTAGTCTGCTTTGCAAACAGTATAAAAAAAGATAAAGTGTTTTAAGTGTAAAAGTGAGTCTACATCATGCCTATTGTGTATGTCAAGTTCATGACAGGCACTTAAGATACTCCTAATCCTATTGGAGCATCCTAGTACCAGAACTACCATTCATTGTGACAAAACAAACACACCAGGAGAGACAACTGATGGTTCTGTTCTTGCAAAATATTCTCTTATAAAAAGATGAATGAGGGACAGATCTTACATATTTTTTGCTCAGCAGCAATGTAGAGCAGCAGGAGAAAAAGAATGTAACTAACCAGGTAGACCTGAAAGTTACTACCTGCCTAAATCTTGCCTAGGCGTTCAATTTCAATAGGAGTTAGGTCAAAAGACCAAGGTATCTGGAGGGTTTTAGTTCTGACACTGTATTTCTTCCCTTAAAATCAACGGCTTTCCAATAAGTCATAGAATTATAGAAGATGCTGAGTTGGAAGGAACCCCTCAGGATCGTAGCATCCAACTCCCAGCCCTGCACAGGACACCCCAAGAATCACACCATGTGCCTGAGATCATTGTCCAAACACTTCTTGAACTCTGTCAGGCTTCATGCTGTGACCACTTCTCTGGGGAACCTGTTCCAGTGCTCAACCACTCTCTGGATGAAAAACCCTTTCCTGATATCCAGCCTAAACCTCCCCTGACACAACTTCAGGCCATTCCCTCAGGTCCTGTCACTGGTCACCAAAGAGGAAGATCAGTGCCTGCCCCTCCTCTTCCCCTCATGAGGAAGTTGTAGACTGCAATGAGATCTCCCCTCAGCCTCCTCATCTCCAGGTTGAACACACCAAGTGACCTCAGCTGTTCCTCATATGGCTTCTTCTCAAGGCCCTTCACCATCCTCATTGCCCTCCTCTGGACACTCTATGATAGCTTTATATCTCTCGTATATTCCAGTGCCCAAAACTGCACACAATATTCAAGGTGAGACTGCCCCAGTGCAGAGCAGAGCGGGACAGTTCCCTCCCTTGACTGGCTGATAATGCTTTGCCTGATGCCCCGCAGGTCATGACTGGCCTTCCTGGCTGCCAGGGCACTGCTGACTCGTATACAATTTGCCATTAACTGGGAGTCCCAAGTCCCTTTCCACAGCACTTCTCTCCAGCCTCTCATTTCCCAGTGTAAACACAGAACCAGAGTTGCCCTGTCCCAGACTAAACCCTAAGTCTTCAACAGGATCAGTTTTAAGTCATGAAAAGTGCTTTTAAAAATCTTTTATATTAATTTCAGGAACTCATATCTGAAGAGTGTCATAACTGCAAAAATAGTATATTTAAGAGGCAGATTGCTCTTTTAATGATAATATTGTTTTTAGCTGTGGTGATGTAGGGACAGATAGGAGACAAGGTATACTAGTTAGACCAGGTAATTTAGCAGAAAAAATACACATACTTTTCAACATGTGAGTACTTTCTTGAAATAATTTTACTGATAGGAGATTTAGAAGAGTAGAAGTTAACTTGTAGAGGATTACTTAATATATTAGGGTGTTAAAAAAAAGTTTTCAGACACATGAAATCTAATAAAGAAGTAACAAATTCCTGACTAAAATAATTTAAAATGGTACTTGGGATGTGCTTTCAGCATCTGTTTAGGCCTGTTGATGATTGTGCTACTTCTGGGATAGGCATTCCTTCTTTATGTGACTGTAGGTTTAGATGGCGAAACTAGGTTGCTAATTGTATTCATCAGCTAGACAGATTTCAGTGAAAAAGATTAAACACAAAGAAAATTTCTGGAACATGGAGTGTCATGAGGGAGAGAAGTGAAGACTGTTATTCCTCTAGGAGCAAAAGAAACTCATAATTAGCATCTGTGAAACAGGAAAATCAGCAGAAGTTTGGGAAAGACTGTAAAAGATCATAAAGTAAATGTGTCTTCACTCATTTGGTATGTTTAGTTTCAGCAGAAGTGTGAATTTTGTTTAACAGGCTCGTCTTTTTTGTATGTCTTCATTGAAAATCAGATTGAGAGGTAAAAATAGAGTGCAACTTTTGAGGGAATATTGCATAGGATTAGGATATAATTATTTTAGTCTTCCTCTAGATTGTCGGTAAAGGGCCAGTTGCAGATTTCCTGCCATTGTTACATTGTAGGTTTAATTGCTGTTTCATGTGTTTAGAGCTAAATCACTTCTGTATATTCTTGCCAGAATATTAGTTTATTGATCTTTCAGTTTTATTAACGGCAATAAATCACTTATGGTAAAAACTAGTATAATAACTTAGCATACAATAGGTATTTCTCACTATTTGACTCTTATCCTGTTAGTAATAAATTTAAGTACTATCCCCACTTTGAGCCTGTTTTGCCTATGAAGGTAATCAGTAACTGATCTCTCCCAGCTGTTATCTCAACTCATGAATCCTTAGCTGTTTTTTTTCTCTCCTCTGTCCAGTTGCAGAGGGAGAGTGAGAGAGTGGCTTTAGTGGGTACCTGGCATCCGGCCAGGGTCAACCCACTACAGTACACATTGTTCTCATGATGTTTGTTTCTTTCTCCAAGATACTGCTTTCCCATGCACCTCAGAATAGAGTGATGGTGTTGATTTTGGCTATTGCTGTGAGAAAAATAATGATCGTGACTTGATTTTTTATTTTGATGATGGAGAAATTGCAAAAGGAAAATTAATTTTAACTATCATTTGGACACAAAAAACCCCCCAAAACCGTAAAATTTACTACTGTCACTATTTTAAATTTTCAGTACTTCTGCTGACCTTGCTCACTCTTTCTGCTTTCCTCCTTCTTCCCCTGCACCAAACTTGCAGAGATTTAAAGGCAAAAACATGAGAGAAAGCTTACCATTGTCTGTAAATTTTCAGTGACTCCAGAATGAAATCAAAGAATTTTTGTGCTTCAGCGCAGAAAAAGTCCAAAGAGCATAGTTATTGAAGTTGGAGGTGTTTAACAGAGGAGGATAACTTTTAAAAGAGGTCAAGTAAATGCAAAAAGGAAGTGGATTGCTAAAATTGGAAGCGTTAACTAAAATTTAACTCTCTCTTCCTATACACAAGTGATGAAAACTGTTGAGAAATGACTATTTTATCCAATTTATTCTCATGTGAAGGAAAAGTTTGATTTAAGAAGCAGGGTCAAATTCTCATTTTAGGCCTATATGTTATGTATTTTACTATTTTTTTTCAAGTTAGAAGAGTGGAAAAAAATGTTACAAGTAAATACTCATAGAATTAATTATAGAAGATTCCTGAGTTAGAAGGAACCCACTAGGATCATCGAAGTCCAACTCATGGCCCTGCACAGGACAGCCCCAAGAATCACACCATGTGACTGAGAGCCTTTTCCACAACATCCTAGCTATAGTTCTCACTACACCCCCTGCCCCCCGAAAATATGACAGGTTACTTATTTAAACTGTAGGAACAAGTACTCCTAATCTGTCTTGATATTTATTTTGCTCTCTTATGCTGATGAACATGAGCAGATGGAACAATTGCTATTAAACTAGGAGATAGTAATAGCATTTTAACCAATCTAAATATAGCTAAGATGACATGAAACATGTTTCAGACTGTTGTTGTGTCTTGTACTCTGTTCCTTACTCTTTGCAACCAGCAGAGAGGGACTTTCATCCCTGTACATTCCTGAGCCCTGGTTACGCTGACAGCCCATGCAGGAGCAGCTCTTCCAGAAGATATGTAGACAGAGGTAAGGCCTCAAAGCCATCTGTGACCATTCTCCCCACTCTGTTCTGTTCCACTGGACTGTTTATGTTTCACGTTTCAGCAATAACTGCAAATGAAATACTTGTGGCAATGGCACACAAAACAGAGCACCCATGAAGGTGTATGAGCTAAGTAGATAGCAAAACATGTTTTCTTTGTGAAGAGAGTTTTTGCAATGGGAATCTTGGGTATAGCAAATCCCTATCCTCTTAGTTTTTACTCTAGAAAGAATTGTGCTTTAAAATAGGAAGCCCATTCTCTCAAAGGGATGTACTGGAGTTATCAAGTCACATTTCTGTTACACGGTACTAAAAGTGCAGACCAAATCATATCAGTAGTGAAATATCTTTTGTTTCCTCATTTCTATTCCCCCTAGTTCAAGAGGAGTTGGAGGAAAGTGGTTGTTACTTCAATGACCTCTTTCTAAAACAACTGAAGAATAGTTTTTAGCTTGCTGGGGAAACTGGAACAAAGTAGGAAGCCTTAAACATATTTCTTCAGCCTGAAGTGTGATATGTCTATAAAGGCCTTTTCATTGTTTTGATGGTTTACTGGTCGTGCGTGACCTTTTCAAGGTCTTGTAGATATGGTCTTTTTAGATGGAGCTTCAAGTAATTAGAAATATATAAACACTTCCTACATGTACAAATTATCTGCTAATAGGACTAATCTGAAGTCCTAGACCACAGGAATGTGAACTTAGAACTTTTTACACGGGTCACCATAACCTTGCTGCAGGCATCTCAGATACTGCTCGCATCTAGGTTAATAATTCCTTTGAGATCTGGCAATAATGACAAATAAAACTTTCAAAACATGGATATCTGATATGCTAAACAGCTGTGTCAATTAGTGTAGTAGGGCTGGAATCTCTCTCCTAGTGCGTACCAAGACTGCTGGCTCCGCTGGACCCTGATGGGTCTCTCTAGATGCTGGCTTAGGTGACACCATTTTCTGCTGCTCCATGCACGGAGAGCTTTGCAGGCTTTTGTGTGGGCACAGGCTGGGCTGCAGTGCAGCAGCATGGGCTGCAGGAAGGCAAACTGCAGTTACACTGGCATTGTACCCTTAGTGGCATGTAAAACAGAGCAGAGCCAATGAGATCTGCACCTAAGTAGAAAAAAAAGAAGTAGTGTAGCCTGTCTGCCTTTACACGGTTGAGGTG